ATGCTTCCCATGGTGCCTTCCCATCAAATTCCTGTGGCTTCCTTCGTACTGGATCACTCCTATTACTGACATTCATATCTGGGATGTGACTTCTAATAGAACTGAAGATGTCTGCATTAGGGTTTAGCTGCGGGGTCTGGAAGGGGCTTGCCATTGTCTGGGGCTGATTAAGTCAATCGTTAATGTATCCTCCTTGTGTAACAGACAATAAATCATCCTTTAATGTATCTAATTCGCTTTTAAATTCACTAATGTTTTCCAGTTGTGCTTCTTGTTTCCTTTCTTGTTCCAGTTGCCACTGCTGTAGTCTCTCCTCTTGTTTCTTTTCTCGTTCTTATTGTTTCTTTTATTTTTCCCCCAACAACTGCTGTAATCTTTCTTCTTGTTTATTTTGCTGTTCGAGTTGCCACTGTTGCAGGTTTTCTTGCAACTGCTGTAATCTCACTTGTTTATTTTGCTGTTCCAGCTGCCACTGTTGCAGGTTTTCTTGCAACTGCTGTTGTCTCTCTACTTGTTTCTTTTCTCGTTCTTCTTGTTTCTTTTGCTGCTCTTGTATTGCTGCCATCAAATCTGGTAAGCTGTAGTTTGATTTGCCACTTCTCGTTTCCATTTTTTTTTTCCCGTCCCACTCCCTGACACCAATTTGTTACGCCTCTGTTCCTTGGTTAATTTTCCGTAAAAATTCTTTCCGAAGAAACTTTACCGATACAAGTCCTTTCTTAAATAAAACTGGTTTATTCTTTCTGAATACAACTTTGCAATACACTTAATTTCCACAGTCGCGCTATAACAAACGCTATAATTCACAACGAACGTCTCAAGTGCTCGACTCAACAATATTCTTTCTCTGTCCGCAGTTCAATTACACATTACATTACATTGTTGCCGTCACGTCTTGACCGTCTTATATATAAAAGAACACCGAAATCCAGTAAACGCAAGAGCATTCAGGAACCTTCGAGAATATGACGTTTTACTAGCGTCACGTGACTTCCGCTGTCGTAACATTATAAAAGTGTTCAAGTGAAATGTTATCACATTATTAACTGTTCCTGAACATAATGACAAACTTATTGCAACAGGTAAAACATCAAGGGCTGGTGAAGAAATAAAGAAACCAAAAGTTTGGTAGATTACAATGTCACAAAAAAAGTCGTTGATATTTTGGATCAGATGTTCTCTTATTACACAGCACTGAGGAAAACCAATAAATGGTATAAAAAGGTAGCTATGGAGTTACTCACAGAAACTTCAGTAGTAAATGCACGGATAATTTTCAACAAATATTATGCTAATAAGAAATGGTCCTCACTTATGTTCAAAGAATCTCTAACAACAATGTTAAGCCAGGAAAAAGAAGTTCAAACACTGGTGGTGCCAGAAGCAGGTGGCACTGCTTAGTAAAGGCAGAAAGTCCAAAAAGAAAATGTAAAAAGAAGTGTGTACGACACAATGAAGTAATAGCTGGAAATGAAGGATCCAGACAGGCCTCGAAAAAGGCTAAAAACGTCTTAACTTTCTGTGAAGCATGTGAGAATAAGCCTTGCCTATGTCTTTCATGTTTTGCATTTAAGCATTCCAGCTAAATGTCATTTTCATGTGTCTAATACACAAATTTTCTGAGGAAAGGAAAGGTCTTTTTTCATTGAAGTCATATGCAATAATTTTCCAATAAACGGCTTATAATTGATATCTCTGTTTATTAACCTCTTACCTATTACTTATTTACTCAATATTATAAGATGCCCAAAACATTAAATTTTAATGATCCACCTGTGGGTCGCATCACAATAGAAAAAAAAAAAAGTCATATTGCAAGAAACATGTTAAAAGGTTGATGTATATGTAAATATTGTTTATAATCATTTGTAGAAGTTTCCAAGAAAAGGCATAGATTTATACATGAGATAAGACTTGTACATGGGGAGACAAAGTGTGATTTCCTAATCTAAATGCAGTTGGAAAGGAAGGTGCACAATAGTCTATTTCAACAGACGATAATATAAATTCATCTACTTGATTCATCATCCCATCACATTAAAGGCTGTACTCAAAAACTTTCATTTAGATTAAACACTGCAACAAGTGCCAGAAGTTTGAAATGTTGAAGACTGCTGCACCAGTCCTCCATCCCATCAAAGTAACTGGACCATGGAATATGGTTGGTGTTGACTTAATAGGACCATTACTAATCACTTATATCCCATAATATACTATTCCATTATTTGATTAAAAAACACCTGAAATTGGTAGTCATCTGGTGGATATATTTTACAAGCGAATCAGTTTGTGCACTGTTTGAAATATCACATAATATGCATTTGTAGTAAACATCAATATTACTTGTTCTAATAAATATGGAAGAAATTAAAAATTATTGTAACCCTCAAGCTTCAGAACAAATTATCCTTTTACTTTCCTTTGGCAGTTATGGAAAACTTGATTGAGGGTTGATAGACCAAGGGCGAGAGTTTGTAAATGAGGTATAGTGATTTATAATTATGAGAAGTATGAGAAGAGTGAGGAAAAGGGAGTTAAAGTGTTCCAATTTCATCCTCATGACCTTGTGCTTAAAAGAAACATGCTGAAACTAACCAAGAAAGGCCATAAGCTAGAAAATTTATGGAAAGGCCTATACAAAATTAATATCACCAAGAAGGGAACAATGAAATTGAAGCATTTGGCATGTGGAATATCATTGAAGAACAATATTCCAGTCAAGCAATTAAAAGCACACTTGAATGAGGTATGCTTTTTCCCACAACAATCATACCGTGAATTATTATTTAACTGTAAAAGAAACTTCTTACTTTGTTACAATTCATGAAAGTACTACACTTTATTCCTGGAACTCTCAGCATTTCAACTACCTGAATTAAGTCTAATGAGCATTAGATGGATAATATTTTATACACAAAAGAATAAAAAATAAAAATTCATCAACAGAAAATTGGAAAGGAGACAACGATTGAGGAAAGAGGAACTGGTAAAATACCAATAGAAACTGAAGCCAAAGTAACTGCCTTAACTGAAGATAACCAAGAAATGGACAATAAGGACAAAGATGAAGCAGTGAAAGTGATTGAAGTACACACAGATATTAATACCATAGATGCTGAAATGGTAAGATTGGGTTCACATACAAAATGTCGAGACCAACCATATTGTTTAGTTACGTATCTGCTCGTTTGGTAATTTCCTGTAAAAATTCTTTCCGAGAAACTTCAGTGATACAAGTCCTTTCTTAATTAAAACTAGTTTATTCTTTCTCGTTACAAACTTTGTAATACACTTAATTTCTGCAGTCACTTTAAACTTAACTACTTTTATAAACACACGCTATAATTCACAGCGATTCACACGCTTTACTTACGGTGCCTGCTGCTCGCTTGACTCGATTATCTCAATTATTTCTCTTCAATCTATCTCCGGCTGATATATTAAAAAAGAGGGCATCTAGCAAACACTGGGACATTTGTGAGGATGCCCGATACGTCACAATCCTTCTAGAAACTTCAGCATGCATGCTCCCAACATCACATGACTTCTGCTGTTCTAACAATATGTATTAATACACTAATTGTAAATAAAAACATTTAAAAAAATACATAAGGAACTTGTAGTTAAAGAGATGTTTTTAGGTTTTTTCAATTAATAATAGGAAAAATTATAATAAAAATGTCATGCTAATGTGTTGTTTTATTTGTAGACAGAGAAAAAAAACCACCAGAAATTTCTCTTGCTGGAAAAACTTGACTTGGTGCCTATAACAAGTGGAGAGTGGGTAAGGAAGAAGACTTATTACTGAAATATCTCATTTAGAACCTAGGAGTACTACATTAGTGTGTAAGCAGGTTGGTCCATGTACCAACTTGCATCAAATAACAAGTGTTTTGGATTCTCCCAAAGACTGGTTACATGATATTAATCGTTGCCAATATCTATTGCATGTTCAGTTTCCAGGATGTTTGCATCATCACAGCAGAAATAACTAACCATTCAGCAGTCAGTACATCAGCTGGTGAATTTATCCAGATTGTTAATATTAATAAAAATCACTAGATAACTTTGTCAAATACGAATTATGTGAAAGGAACAATTCATGTGCATGATGGCCTAGGATATAGTGCAGCAAATTGGCAGCTACCGAAGTAGATAGCCCGACTTCTTGATGCTCAAGTAAATTCAGTTGTCATAAACAGGGAAGTTCTAATTACTGTGGTCTTTTTACTACTGCTGTAGCTGCTTTGCTATGGCACTCCAACACAGCTTTATTTGGGACCAGTCCAAAAAATGAGGCAATACGTGAAGACGTGTTTTGCAAAGGATAGGATGGCACTATGTCAGTTAATTAAGGTAAGAAGTGGTAAGACACAAACATATAAAGTGCAAAGTATTCCAGTGCATTGTGTATGTAGACAGCCATATTTTGCAGGTGCTACTTCATTGGTACAAAGAATGGTACTATTCAAAATATTAAAGTATGAAAATTAATTTATATTTTCTGTTTCATTGTTTTTATACGTGCCAGTGTTCTTTTATATATTTTTCAGTCTTTTTTTTTTATATATACATGCTAATATTTTTAATATTTTTCAATCTCTATTTAAAGGTGGCAGTGTTATTTTAAACATGTAGCTTGTATGTTAGTTATACATTTGTGTTATTCTATATTACAGTGCTTTCTTTTATTGAATTTTTCAGCAGAAGTAACTGGTAATAAGGTAAATTCAAATCGTACAGTTAATGTTCATTGACTCAAGGAACTGGTCATAGCGATTAAGTCTACAGTTTTTACTGTGAGAAATAACAGCATCAGCACTGTATAGGTCAAGAATGTTAGGAGGAGAGGATGGCTTCAAGGGGAAAGGTGGAGGCCAATGTGACAACACATTTAAAACTTAAAAGAGATCTTTGCTGAATACACTTCTAGAGTATTAAACAAAAATGTGCACGACTTCTATTCTTTGTCCCAGTAGCACATAATGACTATATAAAAATAAATACATAAGATTTGTGTAGTATAGTTAAACATCCCGAGATGAGTATTTAAAAATACCTTTGTAATTTGATTTTTTCTGTCTGTATAATTTTGTTATTTGTTAGGTGAAACAAAAAATCAATTTCGGAGGATACCATCGCTGAAAGGGAAGAATAAAGGCCATTAAAAAAGAAAAGAAAAGACTTGTAATTTGTGTTTATTGTATAAAATATCATACCATGTCTTATGTCTTTCTGTTTTTAAACAGTCATGCAGTGAAATAAATTGCATTCCCTTTAACAGTAGTAAATGTTAGATGGAGAGTCACTGGTTACTTTAACATAAAACCGTAATACATATGAAAACAACTTTTTCATAAATCAAACATACAGGTATAAAAACAACAAATACTACTGCTATGATGCTTTTTACAAGCAAGTAATGTAAAGAAAATCAATACTGCATTTTTAATTTTCAAAATGTAAACTTTTTATATTTGATCTCATCTCCTACAAACATTTCAATGTAAGTCTGATATTAAATTAAAATGTTAAACTTTTTATTCATAATGTTCCCATGTACAGTACTGTGCAAAAGTATTAGGACAAGTGAATATTTTGTCATTCTTTCCTTTTTATGGGGCTAATTCTTCCATGCCATTACAGAATGTAAATTTCAACACTATAGTAATGCATCACTAAAGCCCATTGACAACTGAATGAGCCAGGGTAAGAATACTTATCATTCTGTGGAATTCCCATAAGGTCATGTCATAAGGGTTCTGCTTGAATGAACATACTGGTCAAATTTAGGGTCTGAAATAACTATCATGGTACCCCATGCAGTATTTTAACTATATAGAAAGAAGTTAGCAAGGAGCTAGCATATGGTAACGGTATACGCTAAAAGAAATCAATTTAATAGCACTCCACAAATAATCCTTGATAAAAACAGTGTTTAACACTATATATTAGGTTTTGTTGTAATGTCGCAGCCCCAAAAGTGTAGAGAATTGCCAGTAGGGCAGAGAATTTGCATAAGAACTTTATGATGCTGGTTGGACTCTCCAACAAATTGCTGCAGACTTGAAATGTTCCCCAAACACTGTCAAGTATGCCATATATCACGAGACCAAGACAGATAAATTTGAAAATGGGAAGAGGCAAAACACCTAAGCTCAATGATACTGATGTTAAGTACCTTCGTTTATGCAGCCTTAGGGACAGAAGGAAGACTGCCACTCATCTCAAGCATGAGATAAACAACCATGTACCAAATGACAGAAATGTGTCCAGATCTATAGTATCAAGAAGACTCAACGAGAATGAAATATCTGGTCGTATAGCAGTTAAACCTCTTCAATCTCCAAGTGTTGTCAAGAGACTGAGATTGGCTAAAAAAGCACCAAAACTGGACTGTTGATGATTGGAAAAGGGGTTTTATGTACAGATGAGTCCAAGTTTGAAATATTTTGTTCAAAGCATAGGTTGTACGTCCAGCAGAAGAAAGATACTTGCCTCAATGCGTAGCACCTAACATAAAACATGGGGGAGGCAGTGTGATGGCTTGAGGGTGTTTTTCTGCTGAGGCAACAGGATATATTTGCAAAATAGATGGAATAATGGACCAGTGCAAGTACCATCAGACACTAATCCATCATGGCATACCCAGTGGTTTGCATATTATTGGTAAAGTATTCTAATACCAAGCAGATAATGACTCCAATCACTGATCCAACCTATGCAGAAATTATTTAGCTAAGAAATAAGCTGCTGGAGTCATTCAAATGATGCAATGGCCCCCACAGAGCCCCAATCTCAAACCAATTGAGCAGAGCTGGGATTTAATAGATCAAAAACTTGACAAATCAAAAGTTACTTCGAAAGAAACTTTATGGGAGTGTATCAGACATTTGGAGTAAAATCCCAAAGGACACTTTGATGTTGCAACAATACCTGGAAGACTGTCTGCAGTTATTAAAGCAAAAGGAGGACACACAAACTATTAACTGTTTGCTGAACTCAGGTACTTCCAAGATTGTTCTGATTGTTCTTTGAAAGTAACCTGAAATCTAATTTTTGACTTAACACTTGCACAGTACAGTATGTTGTATTAAGTTTCCTATAATATTGGGTGTATTGCTAAGAGAGGATGCTTATATGATAAAATATTAAATTGTTACTATTTGTGACTTTTGGAGGATGGTATTGTTCCTGATGCCTTTATAGACAAAGCCATGATCATTAATAAATGAAGTATTAGTGAAACGTACAATTGCATTTTTTTCTCGTCTATAATTATGGAGTTTCACTAAGCAACAACAGTTTCAAATATCAGTTACACTACCAGCTTGTTTAATTTCTAAAATATGAATTTAAAATGCTCATTTCAAGCTCTACATACATCAAAAGTTTGTATTCAAAGAAATAATTATAATAAGATTGTTAAAGTAGCTACAGGAAATTGTAAAAATGAGTAAATTCTGTGTAACTATTTTGGAATGAATATGTATTGCTGTACTTTAGATTAAACATTTTCATTCACTTAAATTGAAATTTTTCACATTATGAAAATATTTAAAATACTTTAGGAAGAATCACTTTAGGTTTTAATAAATTATACATTTCATTTTACAACCTTGCAGCTCAAATATCAATTTAATTAACATGTTATAGTAAAAACATTTATTACTAATATATGGCAGGATGATTATTCAGTGAAATTAGCTGAATTGCAAATTTAAGATGAATCTTCCATTGATCTTCAAATCACCACAATTACCTAATGAATACAGACGTACCGTTTGCCATCTTAATGGAACTATCAACAGGATAAACTTGCTCAGGATGTAGTATCATCAAATTAAGGAATTATATGAGTAAAAATAAGAAACAAAAAGATGACCTTTTATTTCCAATGCTGACCAGATTAAACAATTTCATGCATATGAACATGTTTAAAGTACAGATGATAGCTTTCATTCTCTGGACTGATTATATTGATAAAGCATGTTTAACATTACATTTGATAATTTAAATCAACTTAAATGAAGTATTATGATTAGTTATTGTATAAAAAAAACACAGATCAGTTAAAATAAAACTCTGTTTAAGTCACTTTAAACATTTTGTGCTGGTCTGTCCTCTGCAGAAATCTAAACACTTGTGCACATTTACCAAAAGAAAAGTCAATTTTGACAGTACCTTATAAATTTCAAAAATTATAAAAATAAATTAAGTTAGTTTTACTCATACATACAATTAAACATTCATTCAGTCCATTTAAGTGTAGAAATCATCTTGCAGAGATTGTTCCAAATAAATAAAAAAAAGTTTCAGGTATGCACATGCCTCAACAAATTAGTGTAAGTGTTAGTATTGGAACACGGTTCTTTCGCTGTCGAGTTCTAAATTAGGGCGAAATAATTCAAAATAGCCTAAATTACAAATTACATTAACTAAAATCAACTTGTTCAAGGTAACTGATAGCTCACACTGACCAATTTACTTTCTACTTTAAGCTCAATCTTTCTTCACAACAATTTCGTATATATGAAAAGTACTGCTAAATATGTTACAAACCTTAAGTCACAGCCTTAATTTAGAGTTTTTTGGAATTTTTTAAGCTTGTTAAACATTCCAACCTTAACGCTATCATTAAAGTTCAGAGCTAACTAGCTAACAAACAAATTACATTAAAAATATACAGCTTAAAACAAATCATGTCAGCACATTCATGACAACCTGTTTGTTTGTTTTGAATTTTGTGCAAAGCTACACGAGGGCTATCTGCACTAGCCATCCCTAATTTAGCAGTGTAAGACTAGAGGGAAGGTAGCTAGTCATCATCACCCACCACCAACTCTTGGGCTACTCTTTTACCAATGAATAGTGGGATTGACCACACATTATAATGCCCCCACGATTGAAAGGGCGAGCATGTTTGGTAGGATGGGGATTTGAACCCGTGACCCACAGATTGCAAGTCAAATGCCCTAACCACCTAGCCATGACAACCTGAATAGGTTGTGGTATGCAGTCTACTGTACAAGTCCCTCATTCAGTCTTTCCATTTTATTATAAGCATCTAAAGTTTGGAATAAAACAAAAATTCAAAACATGAATTAAGACAGTCTTACCTGCAGATACAGAAGTGTATAATATAACAAAACAATGCACAATTATCAGTTAACCGTTTACTGTAATAACAATCTTTTATTTTGCTAAGAGTATTTAATTTTTGAAATGCAACAGATGTATAAAGACAAGATTCTGAAGTGAACAAGAGGATGGAAATGTGTTAAAATCATTCTCAAAAAGCCAAATATAACTTTACACCAGTCTTAAGTTCAAGAAGTTTCTAATTCTGAGTGTTAATCATAATATTTCTCAATAACAGAATTGTTCATGAACAGATAAAACTAATAACATACGTAGAAAAGAGAAGCTAATATATATATATATATCTAAACTATAGTATCAGTGTTTCAAAAAGTTAACAGTAACAAGTTAGTGGACCTAGTGGTGCTAAACTACTACAGTATAAACAACTATATCTTACACAAATTACAAGTCTTAGAAGAATATTGTTTTTTTGTTGTTGTTTTGTTTTTATAAGAATTTCTTTTTAAACATTCTATAATATAAAATTAAATATGGAGTTAGTAATTTCATTTTCAATAAATTACAGAATTTTAAGAAAGTTTTTAACTTATTAAAAATATTCCTTGCATGCATGTTAATGTGTTAGTAATATTGTAGGCTGTAGCACTAAGTATAAATCATTCATTCAGATAGATAATAAATAATACAACATAGGTCATTTATATCACATGAAATAATACTTACGAAATAAGTTTGTTGACAAAGAAAGTGAAATGAATAAAGTTGGCAAAAACAGACATTTAGTAAAAGATATGATACAGTGAGATGAAATTTAGAAGGGAATAGAATTTATTGGTACACCATTTATAAAATAAGGCCACTTACAAGCCATATCAAACTTCACTTTTCATTGTATTTTGCAAGATGGCAACTAACACTGCAATTCTTGACAGTGAAACTACAGATTGTGGTGAAATAGGTCACTAAGCCTTTTTTTGTTTTTACAATATTTTGTGGTAGTACAAACTATAGTTCACAATTCAGACCACACAAATTATTATTTCACTTTGTTTAAACTGTAATTGAAAGTTCTCATTTGTTTAGGCTTACACCACTTGTCAGGTGAATAACTGAATAATATTAAAATTTAAGTTCTTAATTTATCATGTTTTCTGTAGTAATAAATTTGTATTGTAATTAACAAAAC